TCGCGTGCGAGATCCGCGGCGGCAAGCTCGGCGTCGCGCTCGCCCAATTGGGCGACACCTACGGCGAGCCCCTCCGCCAGGAATCCCAGACCCGCTACCGCCCGGACGCGGCGGCCGCGGGCCACACGTTCGACGCGCTGGATGGGGAGATGCGCGACGCCAAGGCGTGGGAGCGCGAGGACGCGTCGGGCTACGACATCGGCCAGGTGTTCGTCGCGGCGGCGTTGAACGTCGGGCGGCTCGACTCGATCTCCTGGGCGGTCCGCCGCGACGTCTTCGAGACGCTGCCGTCCAGCTTCGTCGCGTCGCAGTACTCGCCGACGCTGCAGATCGAGCGGGCCCAGCAGGCGCTCCTCGCGCCGCTCATCCGCTTCGTCACGGGCTGCGACTACGGGCCGTCGGCCGGGGACCACGAGTGCTCGCTGCTCGGCGAGGCCTACGACGGCGAGGCCGCGCCTTTTGCGGGGAGCCCCGTGCCGCAGATGCGGAAGGAGGTCACGCACTTCGAGGCCAAGACGCGGTCGGAACAAGTCGAGTCGCGGTCGGATTCGGCGGACGTGGAGCACGGTCTCGCGCGGCTCCCGGCCGACCCGCGGCACTGCGACATCGTCGTCGGCTTCGACCTGGGTGTTCATGGCTCGTCGAGTTATCAGATCGACGGCAAGCGGACGCCCTTTTCGATCCAGAACATCGCGCAGACCTTGGACGAGATCAACAAGCTCTACGAGGCGATGCACGCGTGCGCGGACGACGCGGACCGCGAGGAGGCCTTCTGGAAGTTCCTCAAGGCGTCGGTCATCCTCAAGCGCGTCCGCATGTACCTCTTGTCCGTCTCGGACGCGACGGACAAGTCCTTCGCGTGCCGCGTGGACTTCTCCAAGGGCGCGTCCCAGATCAAGGCCGACGTCGTCGAGGCCTTGGCAAACTGCCTCCGGCGCCGCGACGCCTGGCGCGCGGCGCCGCCGGGCGCGGACGAGCTGCAGCGCAAGGGCCCGCGCCTGCGCAGCGAGGACTACTTCAAGCTCGTCCTCCACCCGGACCTGCCGGACGACGCGCGCGTCGCCGCGTCGCCGCCGCCGCCGACGTCGTGCCTCGAGCCGGAGCCGCTCGACCTCGACTACCGCGAGCCGCCCTGGCTGGCGGCCGTCGCGCGCCGCGACCGCGCGATGGAGGCGCACCTGGCCGCGAAGCGCGCGCGCGACCTGGAGAGCGCGTACGCGCTCGTCGCGGACGAGGGCGGCCGGAGCTCGGGCGCTCGCGGACGCCGGCGACCCCGACGCCATCCACGGCGTCGCCGACGGCCACTTCGAGGAGGGGCTCACGGCCGCGCTCCAGAACGAGTGCAGCCGGCTCCGCCGCGAAGCGGACGGCTTCCGGCGCGAGCGCGACGCGCTCGCCGCGCGCCTCGCGTCCCAGGATGCCTTGGCCGCGACGCTCCCCGCCGAGACCCTCGAGCGGGCGCTCAAGCCCAAGCTCGGCGACCTGTCTGATCTGCGGCTGCTCGGCCTCATCGGCAAGGGGTCCGAAGTGCTCCACCAGAGCCTCCGCGACCAGGTGGGCGACGACAGTCTGGATCTGGAATTCGACGAGGCGGCCGGCTTCGACCTCAGCGGCCAGAGTGCGGCGCAGATCTCGGACCTCGCGCTCTTCAGCCTGAAAGGCCTGAACACGGCCCTCCGGGCGCCCGACGCCCCCACGGCGGCGGCGCGGCGGGCGAGCGCGTCGACGGGCCTCGAGCCGACGACGTCCGGCGGCCTCCTGCGCTGCAAGCTCGACTGCAAGCGCGTCTATTTCGGCACGGAACTCCACTTCGGCGCGGGCCTCGTCATCACGGAACAGGCCATCAACCTCGAGTGGAAGAGCCAGCTCACGGGCGGCCACTGCCAGGTGGCCATCCAGGCGCGCGACATCGAGTCCATGGCGTACAAGACGCAGGACGACGCCGACGCCGGCCCCATCGACCTCTGCGGCGACGACGAGCGGGCGGACCTGAGCGACGGGGGCCGCGTCGTCAAGTTCCTCGCGCTGACGCTCGTCAAGAGCGCGTCCGTCGGCAACGCGGTGAGCCGCGAGTGCTTCGACCCGAGCCAGAACCCGGGCCCCCACTGCCACGTCGTCCTCGACCTCGCCGGCTCGGCCGCGTCCGTCTTCATCGACGACGTCCTCGGCTTCCTCTACGACCACTACTCGCACGCGACGATCAACCCGATCAGCGGCGCGGACGCCGCGGCCCCCTACCTCCTCGGCGTCACGGACGCCGACGCCAGGGAGAAGCGCCGCGCGGCGGAGCAGAAGCGCAACGAGGTGGAGCCGGCCGCCGCGGCGCCGCGCGGCGGCTCGAAGCGCAAGCGCGGCGCGGCGCGGAGCGGCGGCTCGAAGCGCGAGAGCGGCGCGCCGCAGTACATCAACCTCGTCGACGACCCGGCCAACGCCGAGGCCGTCTTCACCTTCCCCAGCGCGAAGGCGAAAGACGCGATCACGTGCCTCCGGGGCGACCGCCTCCGCCTCCAGGACGGCGAGTTCCTCAACGACAATTTGATCAACCTCTACCTCAAGAACAAGATGCAGAACCAGCCGGCGCCGGTCGCGAGAGTCCACGTCTTCTCGACCTTCTTCTTCACGAAGATGCTCGAGGCCGAGGCCTTCCCCGGCTCCTTCGACGCCAAGAAGGCCTACGCCAAGGTCAAGAAGTGGACGAAGAAGGTCGACGTCTTCGACCAGGACCTGCTCTTCGTGCCCGTCAACGAGCACCTCCACTGGAGCCTCGCCGTCGTCGTCAACCCCGGCAAGAAGCCCTCGCAGCGGACGGCGGCCACGCCCGACCCGTCGGAGCCCTACATCCTCGCCATGGACAGCCTCCGGTCCCACGACAAGGCCCGCGTCGCCGAGTACCTCCGCGCGTACCTCAAGTGCGCCTGGGCCGACCGCCACGCGTCCCGCGACCTCGACGGCCGCTTCGAGGCCGAGACGATGCCCGTCTTCGCGCCGGACCTCCCGAAGCAGCGCAACTCCTTCGACTGCGGCGTCTACGTCCTCAAGTTCTTCGACCTCCTCTTCGACAAGCCGCTGCCGGCGCGCGCCGCGGACGACGACATGACCTTCAGCAACCAGTTCCGGAAGACGCTCTTCAAGCGCGAGGACGTCAAGGCCAAGCGCGAGCAGCTGTTGCACTTCTTCGACCTCGAGTGGGAGAAGGCGGGCGGCCCCAAGGCGTCCAAACCCAAGAAGCGCGCGCGCCAGGCCGACGACGACGGCGCGCCGCTCTCCAAGCGCCCCCGGACCCCGTGAGCAAGCCCCAGCCGTCCTACGGCGGCGGCGACTCGCTCCAGCGCGAGCCCGCGGCGACGGCGAGGATACCGTCGTCATCTACTACGGCGGCGCCGTTGTCGACGGCGCCGTCGTCGACGGCGACGTCGAGGCGCTAAGCATAGATAGCTGCCGTGTTCACAACGCCTAGGCGGCCTTCGGCGGCCAAGTCGCCCATCGCCGAGGAGCTCAACGATGACGGCAACGCCCGCCTCACACAACCGATGCGTCTTGAGAGGCATCCACGCCGGGGGGCAGCCCCGTCCCGTCCCCGCTGCCCGCGTTCGCGAAGCTCGGCTTCGTCGTGGGCCCGAGTTCGCGCCGGCCGCGGGACTTGAGCGTCGCGAAGCGCCTCGCCGCGGGCCCGCCCCCGAGGAGGGATCTCTGCTCGACCATGCGCTGGGCCCGGGCCCTGTGGTGGGCCGCCCTCGTCCCGTCGACCCGGAGCGCCGACGTCGCCATCGTCAGCTTCAGCGACGGGTCCTGCGAGGACGTGCAGTACGAGCTCACGGTGGCCTCCGGCCAGTGCTTCCGGGGCTCGTCCGTGGCCATCAAGTACGACTGCTCCATCGAGGGCACGCTGACGCGCGCGATCTGGCGCAACGGCCCCGGGCCGACGTGCCGCGGCGACCCGGACGTGACGACGCGGTCGGTGCCCGCGTGCGAGGCGAGCGAGCTCTTCGGCGGCCGGTCCAAGGCGCACGCGTGCCTCAACACGGCCTCCGACGCGCTCGTCCGCGTCGCCTACTTCGACGGCGGCGGCGCGGGCTGCGACTCGCCGGGCGCCGCGCCCTTCTTCGACGCGCCCGTCGCCGCCGGCTCGTGCTACAACACGCAGTCGAACGCGACGAGCTACCGCTACGCGTGCGCGCCCGACGGCGGCGTCCTCGTCGAGACCTTCGGCGCGGAGGCGCGCTGCGCGGGCCTCCACGACGCCGAGCACGCGCTCCCGAGCGGCGCCTGCCTCGCGCCGGGCCACGCGGCGAACCCGCGGCCGGGCGCCTACGTGCGCTACTCCTGCGAGGCCGACGTGCTCGCCGGCGGCGGCGACGAGCGGCGCGGCCGCCTCGCCTTCGTGCTCTGCGCGCTCGGCTTCGTGCTGGCCCTCGGGGCCCTCGTCGGCGCGCGGTGCGCGCCGAAGCGGGCCCCGGCGGCGCGCGACGCGGCGGCCATCGAGCTCGCGACGTCCGCCGTCGTCGTCGACGACGGCCCGGCCCCGGCGGCGGGCCCCGTCGCGACGGCCGTCGAGCTCAAGGCCGCGCCGCCGCTCGTCGTCGACGCCTAGCCGGGGGCCCGCGCGCGCGCGGGCGGCGCAAAGCCTAGAGGGTCGTCGACGCGGACGGCGGCGAGCCGCCCGGCGGCGGCGGCGGCGGCGGCGCGGGCCCCGGCGCGGGCGCGGGCCGGCCCGGCGGCGGCGCGGGCCCCGGCGCGGGCGCGGGCCGGCCCGGCGGCGGCGCGTCGCCGCGGCGCGGCGGCGCGGCCGCGGACGGCCGCCGCGGGGGCCGGCCGCCGAAGACGTTGGAGATCGTGTCCTGGACCTCGGCCTGGCGGTCGCGCGTCATGCCGAGGTTCTGCTGGTCGAGGTCGAGGTCGCTGAAGCCGAGGTCCGCGAGGTTGAGGCCGTAGTGGTCGCTCGGGATCCAGGGCGGGTAGCCGCCGTTGAACGCGTCCGCGCCCGGGATCGCGGCCGCGGGCGGCACGCCCATGTAGTTGGACAGGAAGATGGCCGCGCTGTCGTAGAGGAAGCGGGGCCGCGGCGAGTTGTGGTCGCCCTCGACGAGCACCAGGTTCTTGTCGCCGGCGTACTTGCCGTGGAGCGCGCGCGAGTGCGCCGGGTCGATGAAGTCGTCGCGCTCGCCGGCGACGAAGAGCGCGGGCACGAAGCAGGAGTCGACGTGCTTGATGGGCGACACGTCCTCGAGCTTGAAGTCCGCCGTCTTGAGCACGGACGACCGCACCATGCGCAGGGCGATGGACACGACGAAGCCGGGCACGGACAGGCCGTGGTCCCGCGCCTTCTGCACGAGCTCCTCCGCGAGCTGCGGGAGGTCCGCGAAGGCGCCGTCGCAGACCATGGCGGAGATGGACGGGTCCCGGTGGCCGTGGCAGAGGGCGCACGCGCTGCCCATGGACCGGCCCCAGAGCGCCACCGTCGACACCTTGCCCGACGCGCGGAGGTGCGCGACGACCGTCGCCAGGTCGTCGCGCTCCCAGTAGCCGAGCGACACCCAGTCGCCGTCGCTCTTCCCGGACCCGGCGAAGTCGAGCGCGAAGAGGTCGATGCCGATGCTCAGGCAGAGCGCGAGGTGGCTCACGGCCTCGACGCGCGCGCTCGAGTTGCCGTGGAGGTAGACGAGGCACGGCCGCGGCGGCGACGCGGCCGTCCGGTGCGCGGGCGACCAGTGGCTGCACGCGAGGCGCATGCCCCGCGGGTTCACGAGCTCGAGGTCCACGCGCTGGAACGCGTGGCCGTGCCACTCGAAGGACGCCGGGCCCAGGTCGTCCATGTCGTACTCGGCGCGCGGCGGGCGGATGATGGCGTTGACGAGCTCCTGGTAGCCGTTCGACGCCATGTCCCAGTAGCTGCTCGGCCCGGCCTCGTCGTCGTCGACGGGGGCGGCGCCCGCGGGCCGCTCGCCCGACTCCGACGACGACCCCAGGCCCATGGCGGCGGGAGGGCCGCGACCGAGCCCAGGCCCACGGCCTCTGGACCGCCTCCTGACGGCGGCGGGAGGGCTGCGACCGAGGCCAAGCCCACGGCCTGACAAGCTTTGGCTTTGCCACAAACTAATCAGTGGCAACATCAGCTTCATTAACTAGTCAAACATCTTCCAGGTTGGCGTCCTTTCTTGCGATGCGATGTGGCGTCGCTACCGTCGTCGTCGCCGCGGCGGCGGCGGCGTGGTTCTCGCAGCCTCGGCGCGCCGACGAGCTCTTGCTTCTGCTGCGTAACGCGTCGGCGGACTTCTCTCTCCCGTCCAGCGCGTCGGCGGCCGTCGCGCTGCTGCCCAACGCGTCGGCGGCCGTCGCGCTGCTGCGGCCCAACGCGTCGGCGGCGTTCTCTTTCGCGTCCAGCGCGTCGGCCACCCTCGGGCTGCCCTCCGACGCGTCAACGGCGTTCAAACGGCTGTCCGACGCGTCGGCGACTTTGGGGCTGCCCTCCAACGCGTCGGCGGCGTTCAAACGGTTGTCCGACGCGTCGGCGACTTTGGGGCTGCCGCTCGACGCGTCGGCGGCGTTCAAACGGCTGTCCGAGGCGTTGGTGGCCCTCGGGTTGCCGCTCGACGCGTCGGCGGCCTTCGGGCTGCCGCTCGACGCGTCGGTCGACGAGGCGCCCGCCGCGCCGCCGCCCGACGCGTCCGTCGACGAGGCGCCGCCGCCGGCGCCGTCGCCGCGGAGACGGTTGCCGTGGCCGTATCCGGCGGCGACGCGGCCGCGGCGCGCCCCCGGACGGCGCGCCCGGCGCGCCCGCGCCGGACCCGCCCGCGCCCGCGCCGCCGCCGGCGGGCGAGGCTTCGGACGCGTCGGCGGGCGCCGCCGCGCCGCCGGCGCCGCGCCCGTCCGCGCGCGGCCGGCGGTGGCTCCTCGTCGCCGCGCTCGCGGCGTCGGCCTACTACCGGTCGCTCGCGGCCGCCGTCGCCGCGGTCGCGCTCTACTACCGGTCCCTGTTCCTCGGCGGCTTCGCGGCGTTCTTCCGCTCCCGGTCGCGGCCGGGCGACGACGGCCCCGCGGGGCCGGACCGCGTCGAGCTCGAGGTCTTCCGGAGCGACGCGGCGGCGCGGAGCGCGCGCTTCGGCGCCGACGAGCGCGACGGCGTCGACGCGCTGCGGCGCCTCGTCCGCGACGTGAGACCGGACCCGCCGTGGCTCGCGGACGACGCGACGCTCGTGCGCTTCCTCCGCGCGCGCGGCGGCCGCCGCGGCGCCGCGGAGGCGCTCTGGCGCGCGCACGTCGCGTGGCGCGCGTCCTTTGGCGTCGACGCGCTCGTCGAGGGCCCGCCGAGCCCCGAGCTCGCGCTCTGCCGCAAGTGGTGGCCCGTGGGCGCGCTCGCGGGCCGCGACCGCGACGGCGCGCCCGTGGACTACCACCGCCTCGGCGCCGCGGACCTGCCGGGCGTGGAGCGCGAGGTCGGCCGCGCGGCCTTCCTCGAGTTCGTCGCCGTGCTCAACGAGGAGTGCTTCGCGGGCTTCCGCGCCGCGTCGACGGACGGCGCGGTCCACGCGTCGGGGTCCGTGATCATGGACATGGACGGCCTCGGGCTCCGCCACCTCCGCGCGATCCCGGGCGCGCTCGCGGCGCTGCGCCTCGCGGAGCCCAACTACCCGGAGCGGCTCAAGCGCATCTTCATCGTCCGCGCGCCGCCGGCGTTCCACGCGGTCTACCGCGCGCTCCGGCCCGCGCTCAACGCGGGCTCCGCGGACAAGGTCCGCGTGCTCGACGACGGCGAGGCGTACGACGCGCTCCTGGCGCACATGCCCGCGGCCACGATCCCCGCGGAGCTCGGCGGCGCCGGCGACGCGTCCCACATCCCGCGGGGCGGCCCCGTGCCCGTCGGCGAGCTCGCGTTCCACCGCGGCTTCCGCTCGGGCGCGCAGCTCGAGACGCCCCTCGGCGGCGCCGGCGGCGCGCGCGCGCGCGACGTCGAGCCGCCGCCGGAGACGCCGAAGAAGCCGAAGAAGCCGAAGACGCCGCGCGCGCGCCGCTAGGGCGCCTAGTGGGGCGGGGGCGGGAGCGCGCAGGCGTACCTCGGCGCGGCCGCGTCGCGCTTCCAGGCCGGCGCGCAGCACCGGAACCGGTGCGTCTTCGCGAGGCGGTCCCGGTGGAAGAGCAGGAAGACGGCGGGGGGCAGCGCGCAGTTCGCCTCCACCGTGAGGTGGTACCAGGGCGCCCAGAGCGCGCCCGCCCGCGCGACGGCGCCGCCGGCGTCGCGCCGCTCGATCCAGGAGCCCTTGCCGAGGCGGCGGCCGAGGTCCCCGGCGGTCCGCGCGACGCCGCGGCGCTCCACGGCGACGAGCCAGCTCACGTAGAGGTCGTACTCGAAGACCTTGCCCGCGGTCGACCGCGCCGCCGCGAAACGCAGGAACGCGAGGTAGCGCGGCAGCGTCTCGAGGTCGTACCAGGGCACGTCGGCCCACCAGAAGTTGAGCGGCCGGCCGAGCCGCTTCTCGTCGGCGGACAGCCGGCCCCATTTCGCCTTCGGCGCGCCCGGCGACGCCCGCGCGGCGTCGCGCCGCTCGCGCCAGGACGCGTTCGCCGGCGGCGGCGGCGGCGGCGGCGCGACGCCCGGCCCGCCGCGGAGCCGGTCGAGCGCGTCCGCGCGCCGGTCCGCGTCGAGGCCTGGGCAGGACAAGAGAGATTCAACGTCGCTTCAACGTGAGTGTTCCGCGCGCGCGCGTTCCGGAAAAAGCATCCACGCTTCGAGACCGTTCCGAGAGATGATCGCTCGTCCAAAAATCAGCCGAAACGAGTGGAAAACGGCCGAGATATGAGCCTTTGAAGTTGGGAATTTCGCTCTCTTGTGCTGCCCTGGTCGAGGCCCCCGGCGAAGAAGGCCCAGGTCCCGAGCACGTGGGCGTCGTCGGCGTCGCTGCCGCGGAACACGGGGGCCCGCGCGCGGTCCGCGACCGCCGCCGCGAAGCCCGCGGCGGGCCGCGCCCACGCGGTCTCCGCGTCGACGACGACGGCGTAGCGGTAGGGCCAGAGCGCGCCGCCGCGCCGCGCCTCGGGCCCGACGACGTCGTCGAGCAGGGCCTGGAGCGCCGCGTGCTTCTTGGCGACGATGGCGTCCTTGGACGTGGCCCACGCGTAGTCGTTCGCCGGCGACCGCCGGACCACCAGGCTCCGGCGCCAGGCCGCGGGCCGGCCCAGGGGCGGGCCCTTGCGCGCGAGCGCGGCCTCGAACCCGCGCGCGTCGGCGTCGCTCGAGAAGACGAAGAACACGTCCGCCTCGCCGCCCGCGGCCGCGGCGATCGACGACCTGTGTGGAAATCAACCGCCGGTTCGGGACGTCCCGACCAAACTTTGAAATTCTCGAGCTCGGTCAATTCGAAGTCGATTCGGCTGATTTTGGGACGGATCGATTGCTCGCATCGAGTTCTCGAAGCACAGCCGAAGCGCTTGCGTAAACACATTCGAATACGCGCACATTGAATTCGGGTTGAAGATTTGAGTTCCACACGGTCGACGACTTGAGCAGCGCGAAGGCCTCCTCGTACTTGGGCGGGTGCACGGCCACGAGCAGCGCGACGCGCCGCGCGTCGAAGCTGCAGTTCGCCGCGCGGGCGACCCAGGCCGCGAGGCGCGCGCCGGAGGCGGCGCTCCACGACGGCGCGCGCTTGGGGGACGCGGAAGGATGTGATGCTGCTGCGATGATGGCAAGGGCGAGGAGCCGCCGCATCGGACCTTCACGGCTTTACGCAGCGCGCCGCCATCGTGGCGGAGTTCCATGTCTTTTGCATGTTTGACGCACAGAGCAAGCACGCCTGGGCTCTCCATCTGCATACAGCGGTAACTTGCACTGCAACCACGGATAGCAACTTGATGGGCGCCCGGACTACGCCCTCGTCGACGCGTTGCAGCCTCGCGCGCGTCCTCGTCTTCGGCGCGTGCGGCGCGTCCGCGCTCGTGCCCACCAGCGGCCCGTCGCGGGCGCGGCGCGGCGCGGCGCTCTTCGGCGGTCCCGTGTCCGGCCCGGGCATCAACCCCGCGCGCAACGTCGTCGGCGGGGAGCTCGAGTGCTGCTGCGCGGAGGTGCGGGACACGGGCATCGGCACGGGCTTCTTCCGCGACGGCCACTGCTCCACGGGCCCGTCGGACGAGGGCAGCCACACGGTCTGCGTCGTCGCGACGGAGGCGTTCCTCCGCTTCAGCGAGGCCGCCGGGAACCCGCTCGCCACGCCCTTCCCGGAGTACATGTTCCCGGGCCTCGAGCCGGGCGACAGGTGGTGCCTCTGCGCGCGGCGCTGGGCGCAGGCGCGCGACGCGGGCTTCGCGCCCGAGGTCTACCTCCGGGCGACGCACGAAAAGACGCTCGACGTCGTCGCGCTCGACGAGCTCAAGACCTACGCGCTCGACCTCGCCGAGGTCGAGGCCGACCTCGCGCGCGTCGACGGCATGCGCGAGGCGATGATGCGCGCCGCGGGGCTCGCGGCCGACGCGCCGGGCGCGCCCTCGGAGGCGGCGTAAGGCCGGTGTCGCCGGCAGGCTATCTTGGGAAACCCGTCGTATCGCGCGGGAAAGAACTAGTAGTCGCAGGCGCGAACTATTACTCCCCCCCAGTCTCACTCCGCCCATACGGACGCACAAACCCCGACGGCGCGCGCAGGCTCGGGATTGGCCTCGTCGTCGGACGCGTTCGCCTGGGACAGGTGCACTCTGTCGTCGCCGCGGGCAGCTTGTAGCATATCGTACTTCTGCTGGAACTCCTCCATGTTCGATAAGCCGAGCATGCCGATGAAATTAGTGCCATCCTTCCCCGGGATGTGTGTCCGGTCGAATTGAATTCTGCCGAGCATCTGACTGAAGGCGCGCTTGGTCTGTTGTGGCATGCCCGATGACTCCAAAGCCTTGAAAGATATGTGCAGGGGCACCGGCAGCCTGTCGACCACGAGCACGTTACAAAGCGAAAAGACGAGGTCAGAATCTTTGTGTTCTACGACTAGCTTCGTTGGCAGCATGCCCAACACGACCTCTACATCCGGTTTGGCTGTTCCAGTGAGTCTGGTGCAATAAGGATTTGGCGGGACGAGCGAATCCAATAAATCCTGACCAGTAGGCAGTGACATGAGAAAGCTAAGATCGATAAAGTGGCGCATCTCGTGGCAAGCTGCACCGTGGTCGTGCGTCGCGACAGCGTCTTTCCTACTGACCTCCGTGTTCACTTGCACTTTTATCGTCCCCGTTAAATTTGGGTACCAGAATGCATCGAGCACGGGCCTGGTTGAGTCAGGTTCGGGCTTGCCTTTTTTACGGTTGCGACGGTGGTAGCCGGTGCCGGTGTGCAGACGCGGCTCGCGGAACAGCCTCGCGAGTAGCTCCAAGTCCACGTTCCGCCGGAACAGCTGAGTCTTGCCTCGGACCGGGTGGTCGAGGTAAGTAGCCACCGTCCCCGTCGTGTAGTAGACGTTGAAGCGCACCCCCTTATCGTCGGCGAATATGACAACACGGGACGCTTCGTTGACGGATAACTCTTTGAGCCCAGCGCGTGCGGCCAACACGCGTATTTCCTCGCGCGCTCGCTGAGCCTTTTCTCTGTCCATAGATTCAAGGCCTACTGAAGAGAGCATGTGCATGGTTTCCACTGTTTTTATCATGTCCTCCCTCCCCATGCGGGTTGATTTTAGAGCTTCGATTATAGCCTCAGCCGCGGCCGCTCTGTCCAAAGCTGCGTCGCGCGCCTCCTCGCAGGCCCGGACCTGTTCATGGAGAGGAGGCGCGGGGCCGCTTGGTACCATGCTCCGGGATCGCAGCGGATGGCGCAGCTGCCCGAATCACAGCGGATGCAATTCGGCTAGGAGCAACATTGGTGCAAGGGAGTGCAACACCAGCTTGGGAGGCCCTGCGAGGTGAATCTGCGAGGTGAGGCCGGCGCCGCAAGCGCGCGCATCGCCGGCGCGTCTCGCGCCGCCACGCCGACGAGGCGATGGTGTCGCGCGAGCGAACCGTGACGCTCCACGTCTACGATTTCGTGGCCACGGGCTCGCGGACGAGCGCCGCTCTCTCGTGGTTGCAGCTTGGATTGCACCACAGCGGCGTGGAGATCAACGGCTCCGAGTATAGCTTCAACGACGGCGGCGTCTTCAAGGCGCCGCCCCAGGCCTGCAGCCGCGGCGCCGCGCCGCAGTGCGTCCTCGTCGAGTCGCTGCACCTCGGCGCGCACGTCGGCTCGGTCAACGACTTCAACGGCGTGCTCAACGACCTGCGGCGCGCCTTCCCGCCGGGGTCCTACGCGCTCACGTCCCGGAACTGCAACCACTTCAGCGACGCCTTCGTCCGCGCGCTCGGCCTCGGCGGCATCCCCGCGCGCGTGAACCGCGCGGCGTCCTACGGCCGCTGGCTCGGCCTCGGCGCCAAGGGCCTCCAGGTCGGCGGCGACGCGCCCGCGCCGGCGCCGGCGCCGGCGCCGCGCGACCCGGCCCGGGAGCAGAAGAAGGAGCTCACCGCGGAGCAGAGGGCGATCCTCGCGCGGCTCAAGGGCGGCGCCTGACGGCCGCTAAAAGTGCGCGTTACGGACGAGCGCGAGCGGGGGGGCGGCATGCCTAGAGGTCCTCGTACATGTTGCCCGTCGGGGGCTTCTTCTTGCGCTTCTTCTTCTTCGGCGGCGGCGCCTTGCCCGAGTTCTTCTCGTTGAGCTGGCGGACCTCCTCGGCGGCCTTCTCGCGCGCGCGCTTGCGCTTCGCGCGCTTGAGGAGCGTCGCCTCGTCGAGCTCCTGGACGACGGCCTCCTCCTTGGCCGGGAGCGCGGCACCGCAGCCCGCGGAGACGTCGCTTTGGCTCATCCACGACGTCAGGCAGAGCACCGCGTCCTCCGTGTACGCGCTGCCGCCGCACGTGCCGCCGGCGAACTCCGCCGCGCACGCGCCGTGCATGGCGACGAAGGCCTCGCACTCGGGCGACAGCGTCGTCGCGACCTCGTGCTTGCTCGGCGTCGTCAGGCACACGCCCAGGGCCGCGCCGCCGTCGAAGGGGCACGCCGTCGCCGCCTCGGCGTCGCAGGGGTGGGCCGACGCGCCGGGGAGCGCGGCGAAAAGCAGACCGAGGCACCAGCGAGGCATGGCGGCCGCTGCTGCTGCCGGCGGTCGCAGACGATCGAGCCACCCGCGGCGAGCCGTCCCGCCTCAACGTTGCACTTCGCGATGCGGTTGTTGACTTTTAACCAACCTCCGGGCTGCATCGGCGTGATTGTTTCCTTCTGGCGGGGCTGCGCCCGCGGGGTCGGCGGCCCTCCCCCCCCCGCCGGGGCGCCATGGCGTCGGACGACGCCGCCGCGGGCGTCTCGCCGGCGCCGGCCGGCGGCGGCGCGGACAAGGAGAACGTCTCGCCGGCGG